CGTCATGTCTCAGGTGTCGACAATCCCGTCGCCGACGCTCTCTCACGCGTCAACCTCACTCTGCAGTCTTTGCCTACCGTCGACCTTGCCGCCATGGCATCGGCCCAGGCTCAAGACGAAGATATACAGCGCACTCTGCAGTCCACTTCGCTGCATGTGCAACCTGTTCCTCTCCAAACCACGGAAGGAACCATTCTTTGTGACACTTCCACAGGTTGTCCTAGACCTCTCGTGCCCGTCTCCTTCAGACGCACAGTCTTTGACGCACTGCACTCACTATCACATCCCGGTATCCGTGCATCTTTGAAACTGGTCACCGAACGTTTCGTTTGGCCACGCGTAAACAAAGATGTTCGTACCTGGGCTCGCGCCTGCCTTCAATGCCAGCGCTACAAAGTACATCGTCACACCCGCAGTCCTCTTGGTTCATTTTCTGCCCCGGACTCCCGGTTCTCGCATGTACACTTAGACCTGGTAGGCCTATTGCCTCCGTCGCGCGGATTCGTATACATTCTGACATGTGTCGACCGCTTCACCAGATGGCCAGAAGCCATTCCCGTAACAGACTGCACAGCTGAGACTGTTATCCGGGCCTTCTTAGATCGGTGGGTATCGCACTACGGATGCCCATCCACCATCACAACTGACCGCGGAACGCCTTTCGAATCTTCACAATTCGATACGTTCTGCAACTTCTTAGGTTGTCGCCGCATCCATACCACAGCGTATCACCCAGCAGCCAACGGGTTAGTTGAACGTTTCCATAGACAGCTTAAAGCCTCGCTCTGCGCCTCCTCCGACCCTAGCTGGAGCGAAAACATTTCGCTCGTACTCTTAGGCATTCGCAGCAGCATCAAAGCTGATTTGCAATGTGCACCAGCAGAGCTCGTTTACGGCACGACGCTCAAGTTACCAGGAGAATTCGTTTCACCTCCCGCATCGTCGGGTATGCCTCCGCCTAACTTTGCGTCCTCGCTGGCTCAACGCATGCGTTCACTACGCCCGACCCCGCCCCGTGAACAGACTAGAGATGTGCAAATGCACAGCGGACTCTCTACCTGCACTCACGTCTTCCTCCGCACCGACGCAGTGCGGCGCCCTCTCCAGCCTCCCTACACTGGCCCTTTCAGAGTTCTGCAACGGACTCCGAAACACTTTACTATAGACCAGAATGGTCACCGAACAACGGTGTCCATCGACCGCCTCAAAGTGGCTTTCTTTGACGAGCCACTTGCAGCCCATCCTGATGCTCTCGCACAAGCACCCGCACCTGTGGTGACTTCCCGAGCACTGGATAACCCGGAACCCTCCGTACCCCTTGACCCGCAACCTATCCCGCCGCAACCCCAGGCAACCGACCGACGCGGTAGACAGGTCAAACGTCCGGTCCGTTTTTCCGATTTTGTAAGCGTTTGCTATTTCCATTAACACGCTTTTTCGTCTTTAATGGTTATCCTGCGTCTCACCCACAAACGTTTTGCAAAATCGACAAAAAAACCCAACACATTTTGAAAACCTAAAAAGAGTATTTGCTTGTATCATACATGCCATGTTCCCTCTCCGGCGTCAAGCCACTTCCCGAACCTTGCCAACCCCCTCTGAGTTCTACCTTCCAGAAACTCAACCGCCGGAACTGACTAGGCAACCTTCGAGTGACTCGCCAACCGGCTCAACGCAACCCTGGAGTGACTCGCCAGTCGTCTCGCAGCCCCCTTCCACATCCAAGGAACAGACAGTCGCCCTCGATCGCAGACACCCACGAACGAATTGGTCCCCAAACGCCGCTTAGGCATTGCCGACGAGGACGCCGGATTTCTTCGTGGGACGAGGACGCCCGCATTCCTTCGTGGGACGAGCACGCCCGGATTTCTCCGTGGGACGAGGACGTCTGGATTTCTTCGTGGGACGAGGACCGTGGACTAAAGTGCGGTGGGGGGAGTGACACTTCCCAAGCGCACCGTCGGGTCTGCAGCAAAGGAAAGGTCTTGTCGGCCTTTTTTCTGGGCTAGCCAGTTTTTTTGCAGTCCGACCAGCCCGCCCCGACGGCCCACCGATAATGCACTCTGGTCCACACGATCGTCATAAATAAAACTAACAAAAGCCTGGACCCAGCGAAATCTGCTACACAACCCACTTTGGAAACTCAAGGTCGGTTGTGCACGACCGATTCGGGCGGAAGCCGTGTTGATGCTGAGAAATGTGACTAAGGCCGTCCAGATAAGACGAGTGCATCGGCAACGAGAGCCTTCATAACTTTTGATAGTACTGGCAGTAGAGCCACCGGTCGATAATTAGCTGAGTCGGAACGACTACCCCCTTTTTAAATGGAGTTATTATTCCGTGTTTACACACTGCAGGATCGTGCCTCTCATCAAGGCAGTGATGGAACAGTCGCGTAAAGGGTTCAGCTAAAAGGTTAGCCGCCGTAACTAGCCTCCTTGGGTGGATGTCGTCAACTCCTGGACAGGCGCATGGATAGCAGCTTTCTCATCACGGCTGCCATAAAATCTTTATGATACTTGTTGAGACTGAGATGTTGTGTAAGGTTGGGACGCCTGGCTCTCTTCTTCGGCCTGAATTGGGAATTTGGGGTTTTTTCACATACAAGGGCAGGTCCGTTTCCTCCCATCAGTGTAACCCTGGCGCTCACCGGCTGCTCGACTGATTCTTTTAATCTTGCACACTTCTTCAGTAGCACATTTAGACAGGTAACAACCGGGATAGCACTGCATACTTGACAGAACCAAAAGGACTCTGTCATGCTGTTGTACCGTCTCGTTTTTATTGGCCCCATCCTAGGGCACTTAATGTGATAGAATTTCACGCAAATGGTGCACACTAGCCCACACTTCACCCATTTAACACATGATTCAACTTTGCCCTTAACATGAGACATGTTCGCAAAAGGTGTGCAGTTTCAAGGAACTTTCCCAACTTTGAAGTTCTACCAGAATGAGGACATCTATCCCATGCCATTTTGTGAGTATTGTGGCTAACGAACTACGACCTCACAAGCAATTCACAGAGCCAAACTATAGTGGAGGCAAAATCAATTAAGGAACTTGAGTGTGGGTACAGTCAGTCAGACATAGAAACGAATGGGACGCATCCAACAGGCAGTAGCCAGGTTTAACGGCTTGAACTGAACTCGATCGGGTTATGGCACTGAGACGAGGATGCGTTACTGGGACCGGACCCTCAAGGTTAAATGCAGCAGAGGCACGTAAGCGAGAAAAATTCAGTGAGACGTCACGATCTTGTGGGTGACAACAGTTAGTGTATTGGTTTCTACTAGGGCATTAATAATACTGCGAGTGCCCTACCCCCCACTCCTAGTTTCTAGAATGTTTCCCATATTAACGTCAATCACACAGTTTCGTCTATGGGGCGCGCCTTAAGAGGTCTGCTTCCAGCTTAACTAGCTAGTCAGGGAAAATGCTAAATAATTGGTGTGGTGCCAGGGTAATGGTAGGAGTTCAAGTCGACGATTTTACGCTTATCCATCAGTGGTGTAGATAAACGCGGGTAAAAAAAGCCTACCTTCACAATGGAGATAGGAGGTGCATGTGGGTTTAAGAAGAGTGCCGAACGAGACGAATACGCTGAGTGCCATTTACGAAACGTGTAACAAAATGTGTAACGCCCGGTATCCCTGAGACAAGGGGGTTTTCCTTGGCAATGTTGTTTCCATTGTTAGAACCTTCTGGACGCTTCAAAAAGGGCTTAGATGAGTTTATGCGATGTTCGTTACCCCAGCCTCTTGATCTCAAAACTTCTAATAACCGTGATGTTACATTTTTCAATCACTTTTCCTCTGCATATGATAGGATAAGTCATGCCTAGTGCATCCACCCTCAAGTAACTAAGTGTCTTTTTATCTCAAAAGCAATCCTAGTCCATGCATGTAAACAGATCACCTTTTAATGTTCATCGACTCCGTGCCAGGAGAGTTACTTTTCAATTCATCAACTGTTTGCACTCTTCCTCACTGGCTGTACTGTTCTACAGGCACTGCTTAAAGTTATTCGAAAGGAACGCATCTTGTTTTCTGGTTCGACAAGGTTTATTTCAAGACTCAACGTATTATCTTGGGAGTGTTTAGTTGGTTTACCTATTAGTAAGCAGTACGACGTATGCAGCTGTTCTTCCGCCAAGGTTTTGTATGACCCGTTTCACCCACTGCACAATGACTTGCATAACACAAATGACCGGTTCTCATAGGTTGGAGCAGCCGCTATAGTATCGTGTGTACGCATATTTTATGCCCCTAGCTGTGCCAGTGAGACAAATTTAGGAGGAATTTCAGTCAGGAATTTTTTCCCGATGTGGCCTTTACATGATATACGGTGAAGGCATTTTCTTGGTCAAAAATACCGTCCGCAGCTCAGCGGGAATCGAGTCTCAAGTCGTTATAATGCAGTAATGAGGACGTAAAGCTGTACCAAAAATATTCGATTGATGGGAATTCGTCCCAAATGTCTGACTGGGAAGGTCAAGGATCAAAAAAGGGTCACTCAGTGGCAATTTACCAGTCACTCCCATTGGCTGAAAGTGCGATTTAATTGAAAAGCAACGACTTATAGGTAAAGACCGGTGATGTCAACAATGCATCATAGTATGTAATGTCATTGTTAAGTATATTACGTTATTTCTGTTATTCTTCTCTCTGCGTGTAACCGAAGACAAGCCCAACTGGGACGGTTGGTTATCCATCAGAAGCTCTCGCCATTCCTTCTACCCGTCCTAGATTTAATAGTTGTTATTTCGCACTGCATAGTATCACCATTCTACATTGCTTACTTGCTAACCCGACAAAAGTCATCGGTATGATGTGCGACCGCTAACTAGAGCGATATTGATGCGCTATTCTCCATTTAAGTTTTGTTTATATTGACGATGCAGCTGACAGAGTAAAACACTGAAAAGGCATCCGTCGGAGCCTTACTTGACTTCATGAGCCAACTAGAGTTTGTATACGTGTGCACAAAATTGAGGCTTACTTGTATCACCAAACGACTTTGGTGGATCGACAAATCCCCGAACGCAAGGCGCATGTAATCCGAATGATGAGCAACGCCAGTGTAGCCCGCGATGGCTTTCCAAGCATCCCAAAGTAGCTCAAAGTCATTCTGAAAGACAGGAAAGATGGCATTTGTCAAGCCTGATAGAGTAATGGAAGGATCGATTTAAATCGAATTTCGAAGGAAATTTGTTACAGTGAAACATAGTCCCCACAGTCTCTGCACAGCCAATGACTCGCGAGTCAATGGTTGTGAATTCTAGCCTCTCGCAGGAGTGATGGAACGTGTGCAGCTGTTAAGTTGTCCAGAATACCTACATGAATTAGATTAGACTCGTTCCAGGAAACCTAATAGATGCAAGTCAGGGACTCATGTTCGATGACATCGTGGCGCAAATTACAACCATACAATTCTTTTAATGGGAAAAACACGTTCTTCGGTAGACAAAAAACAGAAAATTCATTGACCCCCTCAGTGGTTAAACAGTGGGTGGCATTTGCCGGGCAAGGGGGTAAAGAAGCAATCTCCAAGTGTGGAATGAACAACCAATTTCAAAGTTTAACGCTATTTCACATCAGTGAACAAGGCTTCATGAGAAACATTATCACAAGGTGTCAGGAATTTCCCTCTTAGTACGCCACAACTGACGGAATGCGATCCAGTTAATTCGTTCGCAAACACACACTATACACGTTAGCTAGAGGTGAGAAACACCTCAGCTACTGTGCCGCAATACCTAAAAGAAAAAAGAGAATAAAATGCAACAGGTGCAAGCCAGCTGAGCTACCGGTAACGGATGAGCATCGTTCCGGTAAGCTACCTGCCGGCTACTATGCAGCAGAACAAAAATAATTTACTATGCCAAATTATAAAATGCTAAATAATGAGATCGTGGTTGGAGGGGATGCTAAGGGGCTGGGGTGGGACAAAGAAACTCACAGTACGAACGCCACTGAGGTCGACTCATAGCCATATCAGCAAGTGTACCCAACCAAAGGTGTTCATCATCTTTCGGACCCCAACAAGGGAGCCGAGACGCTCACTGAGGTCAGCTCAGAAGTGAGGGACTTCATTCCTCTCGACCAAGTCATCGCTTGGCCACCCCTCCTCTTCTTCCATCCACACCCACGGCCCGCAAACAACGCACGTTGCGGGAGTCGGTGGACTGCCATGCGGAACACGTGGCCGAGCCATCGGAAACTGGTGCGTGAAATAACGGTGCTGAGCGGTTCATTTCCTTTTCCTGTGCCGTAAACAAGGCGTCGAACACGCTCGTCGCTCACGCGGTGTTCCCACCAGATGTGAGCTAACTTGCGAAGGCACCGGTTGTAGAACGTAACAAGTCTATTTATGTCTGTTGACCTAAGGGGCCAGGTCTCACAACCGTACAGTAGGGTCGGTCGTACCGCTGCATTGTACACTCTACCCTTCAGGGCAAGAGTAATGTCGTTTCGACGCCATAGGTGGCGGTAGTTAGCAAAAGCTCCTCGGGCTTTTGCTATGCGGTTCGTGATCTCATCTTCAATCCCACGGGCGCTGATACAACTTACCAGGTAGTTGAATTTTTGTACGACTTCTAGCTGATCCCCACCAAGGGTCAACGTAGGAGGCGGTCCAGGCCAATCTTGGAGGAACGCTTTGCACTTCGATATTGCAAAGCAAAGCCCGAAGCGGCTGACAGCCAGTGCTAATCTGTCCAGTGCCAATTGGCACGTCTGGGAGCTGTCACAGATTAGGGCAATATCGTCAGTATACTCCAAGTCACGAAGTCGTTCTACGGGAAGCAGATCCACATCTTCTAAGTCTTGTCCTATGAACGCGATTTCCATGACTTCGTCAATAGCGAAGTTGAAGAGGAAAGGTGACAGTGGACATCCTTGTCTCACACCGCTGGATATATTAAAGGGCGACGACAACTTGCCGTAAGCCCCCACTCTGCCCGAGCTACGCGCATATAATGCTCGGATAATATTCACATATTTCCCAGGTACACCTTTCCTGAGTAGACAGCCCCAAAGTGCGCCTCTATCCACTGAATCGAATGCACCTTTGATATCGATGAACACGACAAGAGTGGGCCGCCAATATATGTGATGGTGCTCCAACAACTGCTGCAACGTGAAGATGTGGTCAATGTATCCACGACCTAGATGAAAACCGGTTTGTTCTTCACGAATCTGGCTTTCACGTGTGCCAGTCAGTCTGTGAAGGATGACAGAGGCAAGCAATTTGGAAATCAGACTGATTCCTCTATGGCTGCCGCATTCTCATCGTCAGCTTCTCTTGAAAATTGGGACTATGACGGAACGGCTCCAGACGATTGGGACAGTTTCCTGCTCCCACAGTTTCACTAGTAACTCGTATAAATCATCCACCAGAGCAGGTCCACCTAATTTGAAGAGGACTGGAGGTATATGATCTGGTCCCGCGGCTTTATTTAACTTCAATAGTGCGCAAAGGCAGGCAGCCTTAATTCGCGCCACCATAAAGAACATAGGGAGTCAATAAGAACACGCGGAAGATAAGATCGGAGGAGATTCGTCACAGACACTCAGTCAGCTAGCCGTCACACTTTCGGTAAAGTCACTGCATGACTGTCTTGTTCTTTCGGGACTCCCCACCGGTGCATAATCCACCTGCTCGGTGCTTAGCTACATACTGCAACTCTGCACTTGCGGGCAGTGGCTAGGATCACCGAGCCACAAGTGACGGGTGATGGCCGTTTGGATCAAATAGCTGGCTGTGATATAGTGAGACCCATCCTTCCTTTTCATTTGTGTTTCCAAGGTGCAAAAAGTAGAGCTGTACTCAAGAGACAAAACTTCCCTTTCTAAATCACCACCATCCATCGTGATATAATAGAGCTTTGGTAACTTTCGTTTTTATTTTGTATCTTTATGGTCCCGAAGAGAAGAAAAAGCTATCTAGTGCTTTTCTAGCTGTGTAATGGTTGGTTGATTTAGTTCGACTGTGAAATATCTATCATTATTGTAACTGCTATAAAAAGCCAAGATAAATATGTACTAGTTCACCTGGTCTGAAGAAGCTCTTGTGTCAAGGGCGAAACGTTGTCACAATACCACACTACAGAAAACCGATTTGTATTCCAAAACTTTTGGGAATTACGGAATCCCGTCCGACTCATCCAAACTCTGTAAAGCAAAACAAGCCATATGGAAACGCTCCGCCTACGCTTTGGGTGCTCCATCGCAGATTCTGCATTTTGGTCTGAAGCGGTTGCCTGTCGCCTTTTCTCTCCCATTATAGAACCAGTGCTAGAGTGCAGCTCACATGCCTGTTATCCGATCACTCAGGGCAAGGTGCAAAGACTGGAACTGGTTCAGCATGTCGTATCCAAACTCATTCCCAGTTGACTTAGTACGTCCTACGAAGATTGATGACGGAAACTAGGTCTGCATTCTAATCCACCGCAGGATGACCCACAGGATATTACACTGGGTCTTTCATGCTGTGGCATATGCGTACACCAAGCAGCACATGCGGGCACCGGTACAAGCTTTTAGTACCAGATTTGAAGCGAATAGCTCATTCTCTATGCTTCGAACCTCGTGGGACAGTTTGCCAAAGCTAATGGTTGATGCGAACTCGAGTTCCGGAATACAAGAAATTCCTAGACAACCACTGTGCGGCTTATTGATTTAGAGAATGCATCGCACCTAAATAGGCCATTTTACAACTGAAATATGTTTACAATACGCTTAGAAGGTACGGATGACTACCATAATAGGCTGTTCGCAAGTAAAGTGGCGTTCAAGCACCAGGCAAAGCGGAAAATATGTAATCAATGCACTTCACCCCCTTTGTGTGAAAGTGTTTGACTTCACTGATGACAGGTTCCTCACGATGATCAGCAAGCCGGAACAGTGTGATACAGGTCAGTGGTTTGCAGACAAGTTGGATAATACTGATGATCCAGACAGGACGCCTCTTCGCCCCTTTCAAATCTGGAAATGACGCTTGATTATGAGATTGGAGGAAACTTTCTTCATATATCAAATGAGGTGGCTATTCATTAGCAATGATGGAAGAGGCACGTCGTATTCTGGAGCCTTGTTCCAATTCATCAGTATCAGTTCGTGTCGGATCTTGTAGTTGTGGTGAGACTTAGTATGCAGACGTTCCAAGTGGGCTCAGGTTACCTAGCTGACAAGTTTGACACCATAACCAGGCAAAATTGCTTGTGAAACTATTCAGCCCAGCATTCTAGCTGATGCGAGAGTGAATCAGATGTTATCCGTTTCCAAGTATTAGCTCACTCACTGGAGCCTCCGTTGGATCAGTGTGCCGGATGAATCAGAACGACACTGATGTTCCAAATGGTGCTAGATCTCCACGTTTCATGAGCACTTAGCAGCCGGGAAACCTAGCCAAACGGCGGCCTGTACTGTAGCGAGAACTTCGAGATGGATTCCCCAACAAAGCCGTCTCCAGCGTTCCAATCGGATTTATGGAGGCTATCAAAATCTATCCACCATTCGTAGGCCTTAAACTATAAAAACAAACGGCTTCGAGTGTGTTTGCAGTGTGAATTGGGAGGCAACATCATTCCCCTTCGGTCCGGCCCACTTCATCCGTCTTTGTGATATCTGATGCAATAATTCGGGCTGATGTAGCCGAGAAAGTGTCTCCGAAGTCCAGTACCACTTCGCTAGTACAGAAAGAGCAATCACCGAGTGGGCACACACACGTAAGTGTGATCCAAATGAAGTTATGTATGCAATGTGGACCCGAAATCATGCGTTGACGTATACTTCCATATCTGACCGTGAATGAGCGGAGTATAGCGTGGGTACCGTGTTTCCATGTCCTATAATTTAGGTATGTGGAACAAATTGACCATGCCGCTACGCTAGCGTGTGTTAGATGGGGAATGATAGTTCAGGCATGCTTACGTAAACGTTCATAACTTCCAACTTTCCTTTCGCTATGTCCATTCACTGACGTTGTTTTAACGCGACACTTCGATAATACCATTGGTTGCTGAAAGTCGTTGTCTTGGTTTTCGGATCGTAGTCCTAATCTGGAGGGAATGCTAGCACCTCCATTACTTTATGTGTATCTGATTGGCTCCTCATTATAGTCGGTCC